GGGAAGGGTGGGAGTGGATCTCAGCTTTTGGGTGAAAATGCGAAGAACATCAGGGTCCTCATTGCTAATGAAACTCCCATGCTGGGAAGAGCACCCATTGGTTAGGAATATGTGCATGCACTTTTTCCCTGCCAGAAACAGTTTTTCTGGGGATTTGCAGCCATCGCCTGGCGCTGAGTCTGCCAGGCAGGCTGGTCTGTAAAAGAGGTGGCATTGTGGGAGTCCCCAGGAGCCATGACAGTGCTGACTCACCCCTTGTCCTTGGAGTGGTCCCAAGTAAGCTCTGCCCCACCATTCGCCATCAATTTACAATTAAGCCCATTGCTCTGTGAGACGTCGTGCAGCTCCTGTTCCTGGTGAGATGGTGAAATATCGGCATCCCCAGCGGTGCTGTTTGGGAGAGCCCTGGGGCAGCATAGCTGACAAACATGGGGTAAACCAGGCTGGATCACACACCAGGCTGGGGTACCGGATGTTTCTGAGCATCTTATGGGTGAGGCTGTGGCTTCCCTGCGTGGCCCTGGGTGCCTGCTGCTGTGAGGGGCTCAGCCCCGTGGCCATGCCATCAGTCCAGCACTCAGATGGCAACTTGGGTCTCTGGACTGTCACTAGAAAACCTAAATCAGTCCTGGTTTAGCTCATCCTCTAGATTTGAAGTTAGAGGCGCATACTCCTGATACAAACGTGCTTGAGGGCAGCTTAAATGGATAAATTGGGTATTGTGCACAGCCTGCAGATGAAAACCATGGTTTTACGTTGAGATTTCTATGGCTTTTTGTATGCCACATGTGCGTGAGCGGGAGGGATTCACCTATTCCCAGAGCTGCGCCTTTTCCTGCTTGAGAGCTCAGTCTATTCAATTTCTCAATGAACAGTATAGAAGCGTATGCTGTACAAACAATCCCCCGAATGTATAGGTCCATAGGCATAAATCAAACCTGGTTTTATTGTTTTAGGTGTCAGAAGCAGCCACCAACCGGCTAACAGCTCAATGACAGAGAAGAGCCCCCTTGTTTCTTCTCCCACCAGCGTTTTCATTCCAGCTGTGGCCACCAGCAGTGGTGGAAAGACCCCGGGGTCTGCCACTAGCACCAGCCGATGGGCAGCAGAAATCTCCACATCCAGTAGTGGCACAGACGGGACCTTGGGCATGATCCCATCCTCGCCCGCCTCTTCTGAGAGAGACACCTATGGAGTTCGTGGGCCCAGAGGAGTCACGGATTTTACTGAGTGGGTGGCAGACCATTCGCTAACACGCTCTCACTCTCCTTCAGAGAGTCCCTCCCCAGGTGAGCTTAAGTTGGAAGTGAAATACCATTTTTCTTAGAGTAACAGTCCTCTTTTTACTTACATCTTGCACTTGTCCCACTCTCTTCTGCTATGCAGAATATAGTTTTTGGAAGGATGCAGTGTGATTTTGTGTCTGAAATATTCCAGCTCATTCTTGACCGAAAAATGTGGTTTGGGGTTTTTACAGAAAGGGCAGATGTGTGGAAAGTTTCATTATGCCAAGAAAAATAATTAACTTTCAAATCACATTTTTTTTTTTACTATCTCCAGTTGCTATCTCCATTTTATAGGCCTGAGAACTAAGTGAGCAAGGATTAGATCATGTCCCTGTAGTCCCAGGGTCTGGACTTCAGTTTCTGCCCTCTGGCCTACTCCTTGGACCATGCTGCTTCCCAGAAATTGATCCAGCTCAACAAGCTTAAGGCAACTTTGAATGTGGTCTCTGAGGTCCTTCATGCTGCTGGTTGGTCCTAGACCCTGCTGCCATGCTAAAGGGGTCTGATCCCATTTCTTCAGACTTCTTCCCCAAGACTTTCACCCTGCTCAGCGTTGTGCCTTGTCTGAGCTGACTGCCAGGCGTTGCTGGGTTGTTATGGTTATTTGTTTGTCCTAGCAGCATGGAGTGCACTCAGGCACATAATGGTGAAATCAAGTGCATAAGGGTTAGTAGTTCAACAGTTTTTATATAATAGCACTTTTCTCAGCATCAAATCATGGTTTTTGAAGAAAAATTTCTGTAGGAAGGATTCACTTCTTTGGAAATTTCCTATTTTCTCTGTATTGACATCTTATATTTTGTACTTTTTAATGTACTTGCTGCCCTTGGATGTTACTGGAAGAAAACCCATCTGTTTATTTATGCTTCATGTGTAAAAATATACATTATTTCTTTATCACATCTTAGCTACTGGAAGCAGCCGTGTGCCATTCAGCTTCTTGTCAACAGAGAGGAGAATGGATTTTCCCACCACCAGCACTTCCATTCCCACACCAGCCACCAAGGGTGGAGGGAGGACGTTAAGGTCTCTGCCAGCCAGCACCAGGCTGGCCCAAACAACAGAGACTTCTGCCACTGGTATTGAAACTACCACCTCTCCAGACCAGACCCAGTCACCTGGGATGTCTTTGGGAACCCAGGGTGGTGGTGGCAGAGGTGCCAGTGTGTCGTCCACAGACCCGTTGCTCACAGGCTCGCTGTCCTCTTCAGAAAGCACTTCCCCAGGTGAGCTCTGACCATCCCCATCGGGCTGCTTCCTGAAAACCTCAAACATCTGCTCTGTGTGGAGGAGTGAGGGCATGCTAGAAGCTGCTGGGCAATGACATTGGACACTAGGGAGGAAAATTTCAGCTTCCAGAGAAAAATGCATTAGCTGTGTTTTGCATTTAGCCACCAGAAAAACCCAGCCTTACTGGAAGAACATTCTGGCCCCGAGATTTGGTGTGTTTTCTGAGACAGCGCGGTTTCAAGACTGCCCCATCGGCTGTGTCATCCTGACTCCCACCCTGGGATGCAGATACAGTATTTACTGATTCCGTACCGGCCTGCCGTGCTTTGTTTCCAGTACTGGGGAGTTAGGTGCCACTGTAACCCCACCTGACCCACATCTGGGCTGTGGCACCAGGAGCAGTGCTGAAGGGAAGCAAACCCAACAGCGCTCCCACCACTTGTTCCTGGGGCCCTCTTCAGGGTGTCCTTCTTGTGCAGGGAAGGGCTGTGTCTTCACAGTTAGTGTTTTCTCCGGGTTTGGAGAATCTGGCTCGTTACGGCACGTTATATCAGTGCTGTCAGAACTAAGGCTGATGGTGGAAGAGAGCACTCCCACCTGTTCATAGCTCAAGGTGTATAAATCCATTTTGCTTTGCCCTTTCTCAGCACAAAGGACCTTGGCTACGGGAGGACACCTGCGCGACGCTCCTCTCACCAGTACGCCCAGCTCAGTGACAGCCACCGGTGGTGGGGAGAGGAGCACAGTGCCCGTGTCAGACACTCTTGCAGCATCCAGCATGGCTGGGAGCTCCTCTCCACCTCGCACCAGCTCCCTGGACCTGGTCCTTCTGTCATCCTCACTGGCAACAGAGCCTGGGAGGCAGGGCAACTTTTCGCAGAGTGGCGCTGGACTCAGCGAGCTTCCAACGAAGCTTCTGCCTGCAGTTTCTCCCAGCACCTCAGTGCCTTCGCCTTCACCAAGTGCTTCAGGTGGGTCTTGTGGTTTCCTGGTTTGTTATGGTGGACATCCCTCTTCCTCACCCCCCTCCCCAGCTCCCAGCTTCCCTTTTCTAGCTTTAAACTAGGTTTGCCTTCTTAGTAAGCCTAGTTTACAGTGAAGGTGTCTGAGCACTGCACAGCTGGTGAGTTATTCACCCCACGGCACTTGGGGCAGCTCTTCGGTCAGGAGCTAGATGGCCAGGCAACTCCTCTGGACCACATGTGAAAGCTGCCATTGGGCCTTGACCTCAGCCCTCAAACCAGGGGAACCTGGCATGAGACATGGTAAGGGGTCGGTAGACCTTTTGCCGTTCTTTATATCCTAGTTATCTTGTGTTTCAGCCCCATCTCTGCTGCCAGGGTCCCAGCAGAGCTGGTTTGAAACCCACTGGTCTGCCCAAAGGCATTTTCTGCAGGATGTTCAAGACCAGGTCCTACCTCCCTGCCACTGTTCTCCTTCAGAAACGCCATGCACCCCAATCCGTTTCTTTTTTTCAGTGTAAAGGGGAAAAGTACAGATCGCCTGGAAACCCCGCCTAGCAAATAAGCGATGCTGGTTACCAAGTGCCACCTCTGCAGTGGGGATTGAAATATTCAGATTTTAGTCCCTGCAGAGGCCTCAATGGCATTATTAATATACAAAACATTTATGTATATATATATGCTTTGCAATTCCAGAGAGAGGAAAAAGAGTTTCTGGAGCTCCTACTGAGACTGCCTATGTCTCAACCACATTCTCCAGCCACACTGCGGGGACATCTCAAGCTGCAGCTAACCACAGCATGTGGAGCACAGCAGCAGCAGACCCCACATCTCACCCAGACACAGACGGGGAGCCCGGCACCAGCCCCCTCCCATCCTCCACGGCATGGTCTGCAGCAGAACACGAGTCATCCAGCCGAGCAGGGTACCCAGAAACCCTTTCATCCAGGGTCTCCACCTACTTCTCAGCTGCTGGTGAACCTTCCAGTGAGTTTTTCTGAACTCCGTGACACCATTTGAATTAGGAAAAAACCCACTGCCTCTCCCTTCCCCTTTTCCATGGGATTGATATGACCACCAACATGTGTCAGAGCTGTTGCAGGTGTTGTAACAGGATTTACAAGTGGTGGTGGTTCTGTTCCTCGGTGTTGTATATCTGCAGCTATCGATGCTTATCAAAAAAGTCTCAATGAAACGTGTAGCTTCTTGCTGTAGGACACATCTACTACATGCTTGGGTTGGGGTGCTAATTATAAATGACTTAAACATGCCATTATGAATCTAATGGTACTGATTGTCCCTCTGTATTTGGACAGTCCTGTTTCTCTGGAGTAGGCTTTGTGTATTAAACCCAGATTTAAGGTGATAGATATGTGAGACCCACTTAATCTGTATTTAATCAGTGTTTATTTGTGCAATTTTATTAATCATCATTTCCAAACAGACCTATTGTAGAACTCAGATGTGCTCTCTGCTCTGAGATGATAAAATCAGATGCCTGCTTTTCGATCCTATTCCAGCCATGAGCAGCAGCCATCAGTCCGTAAGCAGCTCGAGTACCGAGGAAAGGATGTCCGCCCCCATCACTGATCCTGTGTACAGTTCAGCCTCATCTGCTGGTGCTGGAGAGAGGACAGTGCACTCGGTGTCGGAAGACATGCTGGCTGGTGGCACAGAAAGCTCTGCTTCCTACTCTGAAACCACCAGCTCTCCAGGGCCGGCTCAGTCGGTGTCGGTGGAGCAGAGCAGGACGGCCAACGCCTCCACTTTTTTACGCTCTTCGCACGTTCTTCCAAAATACCCACTTACTCTTCTTTCCAAAACGATCTCACAAGTAAGTTAGTGTCTCCCAGCATACATTTTGGGTGGGGGGTGGAAGTTCACATTGTCTTGCGTTTATCTAGGTTGTATACAAAGTTCTCATTCATTGGTACGTGCAATGCCACCTGGGAGTTCACTCAGGGGGATGTTTTCATCAGAGGACTCAAAGCCAGACCCCACCTAGCTGTGATTCCCATTCCAGAAATGAAGCCATGAACCTGTGAAGGGGACCTTAATTGCATACTAACTGGTTTCTTTTGGCTGATGTTTTCAGAAGTGTTTCATGATAACCTAAGTCAATTGTAGATTTAAACCAAATTTTCAATACCATGTTTTTTATTATTAGAGATTGCTAAACTTAGCTGTGCATCCTGAAAATCATATTATACGATTGATTGCACCTTTTATGTTAAATAATCTGAAGTTTTTGCAGACTGATGTGGTATTCATTTAGGATTTCCTGACTGCAAAGTTTTCAATCAATGAGTTCATGATAAGCTGCAAATTAACACAATGTAATAATTTTATCCTGAAGAGGCATGGAGTTCACTATTTCTAAAACCAAATTGACTGAAGAAGATGGGTATTCTTTCGTTGGGAATGGAGGATAAGAGGGAGAGCATATGAGTTTTATAAATTATGAGTGATAAAGAGAATAGATGAGTTTTCCTGCTTAGCTTGCCACAAAATATCACGGAACAATAAGTGCTGAATCACACTAGAAAAGCAGTACTGGAAGAACACTGTTTTAGAAACCTACACATTTCAGGGGAGCCTTGTGTCTGTCCAAGTTCACCATTCTAGAATCAATTAAGGAGTGCAGAAGTCTCCTAATTCAATACCCATGCTTGGATGGTGCTCTACCTTTTTAGAAGAGCATGGGCCAGTTCACAGAGAAGAACATTTTATGTATTTAGCAAGTGATTTTAATATGACATCAAAATACTTTCATATTATTTCTAATATATTTTGTCCTTTTAATCCAGGCTTTTCAAGTAGCCATCATCCAGTCAGTAGCATTGATGCTGAGAAAAGGACCTCAGTTTCTCACACGGATGGCACGTACATTTCAACCACATATACCAGAGGAGGAGAACGGACTCTCCTGTCTATCTCGAATAGCAGCACCTCTGCTGAGTCCTCAGAAAGTTCCACCTTTTTTTCTGAAATTTCCAACCCTTCTGATTCATCAAAATCTTCTGTGGCACAGGAGAGGAGGGGCAATGCATCCAGCGATGGTGGATTTGTTGGACCATCTACTGAACCGTTGCTGGTACACTCTTCCGAGCTGTTGACTTCTGCTTCTGCAGGCAGTGTACAAAATACAACTCTCTTCAACGCTGACTCTGAGTTGTTGACCACTGGCAGAACATCTCTATCTTCATCAGCATTTCCAGACTCTTCCTCACTCTCATCACTGCGTCACTCGCTGTCATCAACTCCACCACCAACGTACCTGTTTACATCATCAGAATCATCTGAGCCACTCTTATCCTCTGTGATGGCATCGTCACCCCCTCTGCAGGCTTTGTCGTCCGCCTTGCCCACTTCCTCAATGCTTTCCCCGTCTTATACATTAGCATCTTCATTACCTCTGTTTTCATCACCGTCATCCGTCTCGCACTCCAATGATAGCGATCAAGCGAGCACCTCTGTAGCTACAACTGTGGTCAGGCGGGTGCCCTCCACAGCTGCCGTGGCTGGGAGCTCACCCAGAGGGACCAACAAGCACAATATCACACATCAGCCCCAAAACAGCACCACCTTCACCTCCATTGGTTCTCTTGTCCCTACGGCACCTATGGAGCAGCTTGGTGGACGCATCGTGTCTGTGTCTGCTCCTGCGATGGTAACGGAGTCCACCTCACTGAGAGCCACCACTACCCAGGGGGACAGTTTTGGGAAATCAGCGCCAGTGCCCACCACAGCCAGCGATGCCCCACAGGCTGGGCCAACGGATGCACCCCTTATTCCCTCACCAAGTGCAACAAATCACAGTGTCATAGTCCCTGCAGCGGCACTGACCACAACAAAACCACCTGTGCTGACGACACCGGCCAGTCACTGGCCAACCCCCGGTGCTGGCAGCACCATGAAAGCCCACAGTGCTCAAACGCCTGCTGCCACGAAGCAAGTGTATACTACTGGTCAAAGCACAGAAGCTGTGGATCCCACCACTGTAAGGCCTGGTAAAGTCACTGAGGAAAACATCCCTGTTACGAGTCGGTCTGAAGCCCCTCCAACTAGCAAGACCACCGTGAGCATTACAACTTCTTTGGCTGCTACCAAACCAACCACCGTGCCTCCATCAAGTAGCACAGCCAGGCCAAGGGTGTCGTCTCCAGCAACAGGTAATGTGTCTGCTGGCGCTCAACAGTAGTGGGGACACGGATGAGGGGTCTGGGAATGCCTGGGTCCTACTTTAAGGGTTTTTGAAGGGTTACGTGTGTATGTATGACAAGTCCGTGGTCAGCAGGGTTTGAGGAGAAGGACTTGGTCTCCATGCTGGTATTTTTAAACTAAGGGTTCAGCAATCAAGCTGAACTGCTGGAAAAGGCTGCGCATTTTGGTGAACTTTCTGGTAGAAAAGTTAAGCTGGAATTTGAGAATTCTAAGAATATAAAGCTTATTGGCCTTCCAGCAAAGCATAAGATTGACTAGTTGAGAATATTGATCACTATCAATCAATATCTATCTTATTAATGAGAAAAAATGATTGGCTAGAACTTGGTGTTTGTGTTGGAGGTTCTGTTATTATGACCTACAGTCGTTTTCTCCCCACCTCACTAAATAATCTCCTACTCAGAGAACTGTTGCTTCTCCTGGTAGGCTGCATTCCGTAGTCTTGCCAAGTGTGTTGTTAGAATCATTTATTACCACTGCCAGGCCCCTTATCTTCTCAAGTAAATACACTGACTCAAGTTTTATATGAAAGGAAATCAACTGTGTGTTTAAAGTTCAGGAGCCTGGTGCTCGTGCCACTGTATGGCACTGTGTGCACTAATTGCATTAATCTCAGTGAAATATTGGCAATCGTATATATTCCATCTAATAATTAAGTATTAAAAGTTGTTGCTCAGGCATAGCTATGGTTTCTTGCAAAAAAATTCACTGTTAAGGGAATGGATTTTTTAATCAAAAAATGAAGGTAACGCATTGTTTTTACCAACTGATTCATACTTTTGCCAAGTTACTCTTTCCTTTAAACACCAAGTTTTGCCATTTAACCACAAAGCCCATCCCTCCTGCCTGCAGTGCTCGGCAGCAGCTGCAGAACAGGTACGGGTGGCGTGTGAGCTGTCTTGCTCACCGTGTAGCGCATTGTCACCGACAAGTGCACAGTCCTGCCTACCTCTGCCCTTGCATGTCTGGGTGAGTTTGTGCTCGTGTGAGTCACACGCACAGCAAGAGGAGCGTTTTTGACCAGAATGTGGGTTCTTTTCAAAGGGAAGTATTGGGTAGCTTCTCCAGAATTTGCAGTGTGAGTTTGCTACTCTACCAAGCATCTGAGACTACGGTCATTAACCCCTGACACTCCGTATTTCACAGTTGGTGGCTTTGAAGAGCACCCTGAGATCTGCAGATGAGCAGTGCTGTAGACAAGCTGGGTGTTCATATTAACATGGATCAACACTGGATCCCAAGGGATTTTGAATAAATATTTAATTGAAGTATTTATTCTTTCAGCTCCAACAGAATAATTAAGAGCAGGATAAATAGTAAGTGAAAATGATGCAATAATGCATTTGACAATGCTCAGGCAGTCACAGAAGAGAAGCCAAGTTGATCTTTTTTAGCCCAACATTCGATGATTTTTGTGATTCTGTAAGTATAGCCATTTCTTTTTCTTTCTGATTTTGTAGAAGTGGATAAATGTCTTTCCAACCCTTGTCCTGCTCTGGCCACCTGCAACAATAGCCATGGTTCCTATATCTGTCAGTGTCCTCTTGGATATGAGCTGGAAAAAGGAAAGTGCAATTTAGGTAAGAAAACAAATGTGGGAAAAAAAGAACAACAGGGGAGAAAAAGATGGAAATAATTACTTGTAGTCTTCTAAAATATATTAACCTAGGTTCAGACTAGTTCAGGACCTTAATGTTCCTCTCAACCACCACTTTTAGCAAGAGCCTTTTACTGTTTATACAAGTGCAGTGTCGAATGCCTGTCGTGTTGGGGTGCCCTGGGGAGCAGGGGCAGTGATAGCTGGGGTTTTTTTTAAAAACGCAGCAGCAAGGCGGTGGGCTCAGGCTTGTTGGGAAGCACAGATGTGCCCCTTCTGTTCCTACAACCCCCTCAAAAGCATTCAGCAGCTTATCGTAGCTCCCAGCCCTGCAAACCTGGGTGACGGTGCTTGACTTGGGAGAAGTGAGAAGGGCTATTGTGTAACCTGACTTCGGTGGGATCAGCCATGTGCGGAAAATTAAGCAGCCGTGAAAGCCTTTGTAAGATCAAGGTCTTTTTTTGTACCTTTAGCATTTTTCATGCAGCAGAGTTATTAGTTGGAACTGACCCCCTCCTTTCTATTAGAGGACTCTTCAAGGTCTTACAATGTCCCATTGTAAAGGGGAATTTGTTTTGCTAGAGTTTCTTCTGACCCTTAATCAGTGAGGATTAGAGGCATGGAAATTTTGCTAAGGAAACATGGGTGAGGTGTCCCTGAAGGGTGTTTTGAAACATTTCTTCGAGTTGGAATGTGTCAGCTTCTAATTTAGAGAGTTGCTTTGATTATGCCTTGAACTGGGATATGGGCAGATTATATAAATACTGCAAAGGTGATTCTCATTTTTACCTGGAGTTGTCACATTAGAGCTGTCTGATCTAAAATTTGTGGTGAAGATAGGCTCTGCGGATGGGAAAAAATGAGAAAGAATTGGATGCTTTATAATGTTATCTACAACTATATTTGTTTTTCTGGTGAAACATAAAACTGGAGCTCTGAGTTCTCATTTCCACCGAGTATCTCATGACACTTAATACAAGATTTAGCGATATTATCTCTCAGAGTCTGGACAACTGAGATTATTTCATTCTGCTGCCATGAATCAAATACGAATCTAAGCCCAGAAAAAATGCATCTTTTGGATCTCTTTTCAAATGTCATTGCTCGTTCTCTCCAACAATTTGAAAAATGAACATGTCCTTTCTACAGTACTTTATTTTGACTTGCTGATTTTCTTTCCTTACATTGCAGGGATGGGCAAGAGATGTGACACATTTACCTCAAATTATTAGGAATAATTTTTGTACCTGAAACTGTCTTATTACTAAATCTACCCAGCTCTCTGTGTTCGGGGGGTCCTTGTAAATTAGTCTGTGTTTCTATAGGAAATATATGAACACCATGGTGAAATGCTGGCTGTTCAGCAGTGCTGAGCTCTGGAATTTGACTGGAGCTGTGGGAACTTCACAGCAACCCTTGGGAAAAATCCCAAGGCTGGGACTTCGTTTTATTGGGTCAGTGACTCTCGGATATGAGTTTTATGTCCACTGTGTGACGGGGTTTTCCTTGCAGACAGTCTCTCACGCAGATGAAACTGCAGCTACACGTGGCACAGAGACATGTGTTCTAACTTGTCTTACTCTCCTTTTTTAGTAAGAATATTTATCGGCCAAGTCCCCCTGAAACTTAATATTACCCATGGAAAGTACGCAGATCTTCTTCATGTCGAGGGTGAAATCCTGGGTATGGTGAGTGTCATTGCCAGGACGTTGGCAATGCTGATGGGACAGGTCCCCTTCGCCCCTCTTATGGTTTTCATGGGAAGCCATGAGACTCTCTAGTGTGGATGTAGCCTTTTTAGTCATTGAACCATAATGGTCTGGTGGAAGTAGGACTGGTGAGACATATGCTTTTAAATTTCAGCCTGCTTCCCCACCCTACCCTGCCCAGGCTGTCAAGACAGCAGCAGAGAGATCTGGCTCCTACGGGTCTTAAGACAGCATATCTGCCCAGAAAATCCTGAAGTGGTGTGACTGGGTTCACACTTCTGTTACCTCCATTCTTTCCCAGTGTCCTCTGGCTTCATTGCCTTTTCCAGATGGCAAAAAGGGCATTAATGCTTCTCCAAGGTCCAAGATCAAAACAGGAGCTCTGGGCTTCATCGTTCATCAGTAAATCCCACAGGTGCTGGGGTGGGTTGGACTGCAGCTGGTACTACCTTTCCCTTAGCCAAACCACATGGGATGAAGGGCAGCAGCATCACCCACCCAAACCTTCTTCTTGATGGAGTCTCCCAGCTATGCTATCACAACCATGTGTTGAGGGCAAGCGCTGGGCAAGCTGGTGTCCCCTCCGTATGCTGTGCCTTCAGCTGCTCCAAAAAGACCCCTGGGCTGGGGGTAGGAACATCTGTATGTTTTTTACCCAGATCATTGCATGCATGAGTTCATCCTATTAGCAGTTCCTCGGCTGGCTGTAGTTCATCCCAACTCTTTTTGGAGTAGGTGATTTAAAAATGCCCCCAAAGGAGGAGGGAGCCAGAGCCAGTCGCCTTGATGTTGCTGGTACAGCTTGTGCCGGAGAGTCAACATCAACAACCACGCAGATGCAGGGAGAGGGAGGCTCCTTGGAAGATGTGCAGTCTCCAAGGGTGCTGCTTTGAGCTCGGCCTCATGTGGGGCTCTGTCCCCACTGGCTTCTGTCCCATCTTGAGCCTTTGCAGTCATGGCACAGAAGGGCCTTGGGCAGATGCTCATGTCAGGTTTTCGTTCCTGTCCAAGGCTGTGCAGTGGTGACTTTGGCCACTCCTTGGTGGTAACCAGACGGCACATCTTTCTTACTGAGCAGATGAACTGCTGGGGTGCTCAGAGCCCCCTGGGCCTCAGCAAGCAGCTCTGGCGAATGCCAGTGGTGTCAGTGACCAAGGCAGGGTGTCCCATGCTGCATCCCCCTGGGCTGCCTCCCTCCCTCATCCCCCAAGGCACTAACAGCTGCTCTCTCCTTCCTTGCAGCTCGATGCATCGCTGTCGGGCTTGCCAGGGTACCACCACTCCACAGTTAAGGCGGCCAGGTAAGGGCTATGGCTAGCAGGGAAAGATTGATAAAATTGAGCATTCAGGGTGTTCAACTTAAGATCCACGTTCTCTGTTTTGAGTGGGTGCTGGGCTTGTTGCAAACCGGCTTGTCAGTAGAGCAGGACATGGGGAGCGCCTGACCACCCTGCCCGGCTGTCCCGCTACCCTCCTCCTGAGAGGCTTGGGGAAGGGCTTGTGAGCTGCCCAGGAGGGATTTATGGCTGGTTTCAAAGTGAGCTACTAGCATCCCTTCCAGCCCCAAATTTCTCACTCTGTGTGTAAGTTTGTCCTGTTTTTAAGGTCTGTTACAATGCATGGCTGTTTCAGTATGTATGCAATTTTGTATCTGTGATAAGCATTGTTTGTGTTAATGAGTCCTGTGTATAATATGTGTTAACAAGAATCCTGTGTATAAGGTGCTAACGATGACATCAGACTGACCCATGATACTCAGGGCTGTTTTGTTTTGTTTTCTGTTAGGGAGGCAAATTCTGTGCATGTTTCAGTGCAATCCACGTTCTCTTTAGCATCCAACGTGACTTTCTATGACGTTGTCAGCAGCGTGAAAAGCTACATTCGGGCTTGCAAATCCCCCACCGAAACCTGCCAGTTCATCTCCAGCCTGAAACCACTCCACAGAGGTAAATAGCATCTGGAGGGACTGTGTGACGGGAGGGGAATGGGATGTTTTATTTGGCTTCTTTTATAACAGGAGGAGAAAGATTCTGGCATTTGGAAAAACCCCTCTGAATCTTTTTAATCTCATTTAAATGGGACTCATCTGAAGAGCCTCACAGTACAAAAGGGATGCAGATATCGAGCCTTATCGTCGCCACATGTGTGAGAAATCTGCCTCTCTGTGAAAACATCACACAGCACAGGATTAGAGGCATTGTAGGGCAGCCTTTCATCTCTGGGATGTGACACCAGGCCCCAGCCAGATCAAAAAACCATAAGTCTTAATTCCACCCACGCAGTTGAAAGCTGGGGAAATGGTGTGAAAGCCAAGAGACCCTCCAGTGAAGTCGATTAGAGCCACTGGAGGTTGTGTGCGGAGCTGTGCTCTCCTGCCTGTTGGATTTCAGTGTTGCAGGGTGTAGAAATGGTTGACCATTAACGATTTCTGAACCGAATCCTCTACCTGCTGAAGAGAAGCATAGGTGCAGGACAGAGAGACCTGGAGAAGCCCATCAGTGCTGTCCAAGACCTTCTCCAGGTGGACCCAGTCGGTGGTGGTGGCCCTGTGCCCTGCACTTCCCAGTCCTCGCTTTCTGAGGGAGCAATACAGGAGATTTAGCCATGAGAGGTACTGGCAGGATGCAGGGAGTGAGCACCCTTGAAAGATGGGCTTTTGCAAGGAACCTCCTGCATGTGCAGCTCTGTGACTTTGGGGTTTGAGGCTTTGAGGTTTGGCTCTGAGGATGAAGGGCAGCAGCACACAGCCTGGGTGTCGTGGGTAACCCCTCATTTTTTTGCAAAGTAAACACAAAGATGAGAAAATTAGCATGTGCTTTTATTTTAGTGTGCCGTATTTTAAAGCCATGCTCTACCGTGGATTGAATTAAATTATTTTGGTAGACCCACTCAGATTATATCTAGCCGTTATCTCTGATAGAATGCTTCTGGTAAAGTCTAATTCTAAATTGAAATAAGAAGAATAAGAAACAGGTTATGTTCTTGTGTAAGTACTTAAAAGAAAAGATGTCAGATAACAAAAATAGAAAAGATGGATCTATCAGGGAGAGGTTTATAAAAGGTGAGTGCAAAATGAGTGACGTTTTCCATAAAATCCTCTTTCTCACTAATATTTTTTCATTTGTTCATTCCGTTTAGTCTGACCTCCCAGTAAAAAATATAAGTTCAGTGACACAATTTTCATCATTTACCCACAGTTTTGCTGAATGCTCATTGTAACAAATCTGACTTTGTGAAGTGAAACGCTGCTTCCAAGTAATGTAAATGAAAGGACATATTCTTTGTTTGAAAAATGAAAAAATCCCGTGCTTAATATTGAAATGGAACAAAATTGTTTCGGGCTGAGCAAAATGTTTTGGTTGACATAAACTTAAAAATGGATTTGTTGAACTGTCTCAGGGGGTGAACGTGTTTCAGCTTGAGCCAAACCAAATTTTTCTTTCCCGTTTCTCCTTCTGCCTGTGAGACGAAACATTTCTTATTCAATCCCCTCTATTTGCCTGTAGAAACGACGGTAGATACGCAAAAAATGGTGACAAAGAGTAATGTTGACTGTCTCCTAATGGAACAAATAATATTTAAAAAAAAAAAAAAGATATTAAAGCATCACATGAGCTGAATGTGGTGCCTGGAGAAAGCAAATGTGCCTAACGGTGAGTTCAGAGAGAACTGCGCTGATGTTGGCCGCCTCTTCCCGACAGTTGGCAGCTTGTGCAGGCAGAAAGACCCCGAATGCGACAAGGAAACGTCTGAATGCACCGACTTTGATGGCGTCGCGCTCTGCCAGTGCAAAAGCGGGTACTTCAAATACAACAAGATGGACCACTCCTGTAGAGGTATTGCTCTTTATGTGGAGTATTTTGCCTGGATTTTGCTTAAACTTTTTTTTTTTCCATTGGAAATGAACGTGTGTATTGCTGTACATACAAGAAGCTCAATGCTATGAATAAATATTAGCAGCTCAAGTTTCTTTTATTTACTAGGGGACTCTTCAGCAGATGCTGAAGATGCAATCTCTCTCTAGAAATAATATTATCTCTTTCTGGAACACGCTGTGAGTCACAGTGATTGAGAAGAGGGAGAAAGGGGCCTGACTGCTTTAGGCTCCAGTTCAGTGGCACAGAACAGAGATGACGTGCGTCTTTGCCTGTTTTGGTTTTGTCTGAACTCTCAGCGAACTTAGGAGAAGTGCTTTAAACTCACAAGCTTATATTAATACATCATCAATATTTTTAAAATAAGTATCTGGAAATGATTATGAATTTATTTTCCAGCTGGGTTCCTGGTAGAAATTTTAAGCTTAAAGTGTTATATTATTTTTTAGCTACTCCTCAGATCATGAAATCTGTTTTTGCTACGTTTTAAACAAGGTCTTTGTCCACGTGCCAGTGGTCAAAATGACTTCTGTAGGATCAGTGTGTCCATCCCCTAGTTTCAGTAGTTGTAGGGATTCTTAAGAAATGCAGTTTTCTGATGATATATCAGTAAGAATTGCAGTAGTGGTTATATATTGCTTCTTGGCAGAGAATGCTGGGTTGCTGTTGAAATAGGAGGAGATCCTTTGTCAATTCCAAATCTCATCACAGAGTGAGAAAGATGGGCCTGGAAATAACGCATGTGCTGCCGGCTCTGGCATGGGACATCTCAGGGACTGTCATCTCTATATCATGGTCTTGCCTCTCCTCTGCCCTGTGGCTCCAGGCAAAACCTTTCTCCTTTGTATTTTTCTTCCCTCCCTTCATCTTACATGTCTGGGGAAGGATTTCTGTTAGGAAACAGTGACCATCACCAACCCTTGGGAGACGGAGAAGGGCTTACATAGTGAGTGGGCAGCTGAGCTGAAGTCTGGAAGGCTTAGTTCTTGCTCCACCATTGGTGGTGGGCACCTAGGGTGAGTGACTCCATTTTTCTTGTCCACATCTCTTGCCAAGCAGTGCTGTGAAGATAAATATCTGAAAGGCTGTGGGGCAGCCAGTTGTGATGGTTGCAGAGGGCTAGGAGATCTAACATCCTGTACATGTGGTCACTCCTGACTTATGGGTCTTGTTTGCTGTGCAAAATATAAACTCCCTACCTGCACACAGTGAGGCCTCAATTCCACCTTCATCTCACTGCTGTCAGTGGCAAACATCTTACTGACCACCTTGGGAGTGTCTGAGGGACAGTGTTGATGCAGGGTTTCGGCTGCACTGCAGTGGTGTGAGGGTAGCTCCGACCGTATGGTGCCACGTTCCGACAACATACCGAATTTTCAGCATCACTTTGTTCCCAACTGGGTAAGCCAGGTGGTTGGGACTTTTAAAGGCTTTTTCAAAAGACAATCTATATCCCTCATTTGATATTTAGGGCTGTTTTCTGACAAATATAGCATACAATATGCCAGCCTCTTTGAAAATCTTTGCCCTCTTAGTAACTAAACAGGAACCAACGTCTCCTGGGCATCCGACTCTTATTGTGGGTTGGGAAAATGTGGCATGCTAACCCCAATTTTGTTATTTGCAAAGAGGGAAGTGGCTATTGTGCTGCCCTGTCCGGTCTCCGCCGTGGGAAGGCGGGTGCAGCTGGGAGAGCTGCTGGGGCAGGGGTAGACGGCTGCCCTGACCCCCAGAGCTTGTTCTGTCCTGTCTTGCCGTGTCTGTCTCCTGGGCGTGCTCAAAAAAGGACCACGGAAGGCTTGGGTCTCTGAACTACAGGAATTTCGACATGTTGGTCATGGTACCTTTCGGTATGCAACCTCTCTTTGGTCGTCTCTGTGACGTTGTGAGTTGTCAACCTTCCCAGTATATTCAGGGCTGTTTTAGAAACAGGGAACAAACCCAATGTACCAGTTTTTCAAGTGCATGCTATTTTTAATAATACAGAGTGTGTCTGGAGTGAAGCAAAGAGCAGAAAAGCAGGTTTCCAAAGAGACCCCGGAGCCTCTTTCAGGATGGCAAAGGCATAGGAATCCCGAGTAGAAAAGCACAACGTGATAGCTTTGCTTGGCCCCTGACACTTAAGCCTTTCCTCTATTCCCTGCTCACATTTGAAAACTTGCCAACTGAGTGTGACAGTGTGAGCTCTACTGGGAGCATGTTCAAAGGAGCAGGGAAGGTGCCAGCGGAGAAAGCAAAGTGACAGGAAGAGGCAGGGTGAAGAGAGGAAAAGGCATAAACACCAAGTGTTGAAGTAAGACGGAGAGATGCATATTCAGGATCTTGCTTTTCCTCCTAACTGCCCCTGTAGTCTTGTGACCTGAGAGCTGTGTGTCAGTGGGGTCCAGGGCTGCTCCTGCCCAAGGCATGGCTCCAGCTTTGAGACTGCTCAAGGTGTATGTGCCCTATACACACTGTTGGGCTAGGGCTGAGGTGTTGAGGTTAGGCTGGACTCCAGCACCTGCCTGCAGGCTCCTCCAGGCCTTCCCAACACACCTACGGTGGGCTGAGGCTGGGGTTGGGGCTGGGGTACAGTTGGGGTACAGCTGGGGCCTGCTGCACTCATTAGCAAAGGCAACTCCAGCGAGCTGTTGAAGTGATGCCTTCCTCCCCTTCACTGCAGACTTCACTGCTGCCTGATCTTGTGGCTCGCTTTGGTAGGACATTTGCTCCATAATGTTTTTGGTCTGCTTTTGTTAGTGACTGAAAGGAGCAACCCATCCAGTCTCATTTTGTTAATGCATCAGTGTTATGAATGAGCCACGGAAGGATCCTTTGGGATTTACTACCCTTACCCTGGCTTTTTGTTGGCTGAGGCTCTTAACTCTTGTCCAGTTACCTCTGGTCCCTTTCTTGACCTCAAAGAAACCATTTTAGAGAGATAAAAAGAAATCCAGTGCAAAAAGCATCATGAGGTGCACCAGTATGGGCTATGTAAAGAGCCGCACCCTCCCCATCCCCAGCTCTGGGGGAATAAATGGAGTGAAAGAGGTAGTGGAGGAGTAGCAGAGCTATATAGGGCAGAGAAAGGGGTGCAAGACCAGCTATCATGGACATCAGCCCCCTCTGTCATTGTTGGTGCCAGCTGGCATTGCAAGTCTGTGCCTAGACCTGCAATGTTGATGATAGAAGTGCATCACCTATCTGCGTCTGCACACCCCGCAGGGAAAATGGCACGTTGAGTGACATCAGACGCTTAGTAACTGGGGTATAGGCAAACAGTAGTTCAGTAGGACCACAAGTAAGGCCAGGCATCCAGGAGCAGAGTGCCAGGCACACTGTGGGTTGTGTCTGCTGGAAAGCAGAGACTTGGGCAGAGCTGTGACAGGGACCTGGTGGGTAAAGAAGGGGTCCCCAGCTCCGGCTTGTAAGGCTAATATGGTCCCTGGGTGCGTTTAAGGGGCACAGGCAGGCAGAAGAGGGGAAGTTTTGTTATCTCTGGGCTTACAACATCTATTTTTGGGAACCAGAAATCAAAAGGGTCAAAGAGGACCTCTGAGTGTTCAGAGGAAAGCTGCAATAACCGGGGAGACACAAAGATCTCAGCGCATTTGGTTTTTTTAAAGGCAAAGGAGCGATTTGATGGTGAGGAGGAGAAATGTGATCATCTAACCTTTTCCAATCTAGCAAGTAAATATTCAAAGGCTGGAATTTGACACTGGGATAATTCAGACCAGAAAGAAGGTGAATGTTTTTAATGGCTGGGGAAATTAACTTTATGAGCATCTGACCCAAAGTTGTGGTTGATTGTCTGTCACTGAAAATATTAAAATTAATCTTGGATGGTTCTCTAAAATGTAGCTCCAGTTCAACTATTTGATTTGAAGCTGGGATTGAATTTATGGCAGATCTATGTATGACCTGTGTTATGAGGGGGAGGTCACAGTGCTCCCTGCTGGCATCAGTATCACTTGTTATTGCTGCTGGAAGAGCCATGAACTTCTGAATCCAGCCAGAATACTAGTGCTCTCTCTTGGTTTACTAGGATATTGCCAGCCCATCCTAACAGACGACGTTACACATTTGTCTTTTCTTCCTTCCTCCCCTCCTGTGCTGAGTGTTCCTGCAAATACAGCCACTGGCTGTGCCAGAGGGGAAGAGGCACCTGGCGTGCTGGGAGCAGCAAGGAGGAGGGGAGGGCTGTGCTGCAGCTTAGCTGGGCCTCGGCTGCGCAGCCCCCTCCTCTCCTCGCAGACCTCCTCACGCTTGCTGAGGTTAGAGAGTGCCCGAGCTTTCGGCTGCAGGGTATCCCTATGGTTAGGGAGCAAGGCAGGGGGAACAGGGCTTGACAGCTGCTCCCTCGCCATTCTTAAGTGTTATGGTGTTTGAGGGGGAAAAAAAAAAGTCCATGAGCATTTTTGTTTTCACAGTTTTATTCCCTGTGGAGTGTGCTGCAGGGTTTTCCCAGACCCCTGGGTGTTGTCTTGCAGACCCCAAAGGGCTGCTGCACGTGCTGGCCCTGGTTTGTCCCTCTGCCCCAAGCGACTCCATCTGCGTCACTCCTGCGCAGGCCTTGGAGCGGCCGCCTTCGCTGCCCCTGTGAAAGGCAGCACATCTGCAGAATCTGGTGGGGCCGTCGCTGAGAAAGGCGGTGATCTAATCAGTAATTTGAAGCGTATCGTTGTATGTCCCGCGTGTCATCACCTTTGCTGTTCATCAGAAGGGCAGCATAAGCAGCTCAGGTAATTCAGGTGATGAGATAGCTGTCCATAAGCACAGAGATTACTTTATTTTGAAGCAGTGGTTTTAGTTTTTCGCCAATGTTTTGTACACAGCAGTTTTCTGGATTATTTAGACCTAAAAAATTTAATTTCTATTCTATTATATATAGGTATCGTTATATATATTTAATTTCCATTGATTTAACTCCAAATTTGAAAGACGAGGAAAAAAGGTGACGAGGTAAAACATAGCATACCACTGTACATTACCCTGACTACGTTTGCATAACATTTTGTTGCAATACTAACATTTAATAGTAAGTATAAGGTGCATCAAGGCTCAAGTAGCACTGTTCAAATGAGGTTTCAAAACAAAAACTGGAGACACTTGCAGTTTTTTTCACACTGCTATTTTGTGGGAAGCAATGCAAGCGTGCAGTGAGTTTCCATCCGGGCAAGAAGAGGTTTTGCTGGGAATTACATTACCAGCTGCACACCCTGTGCCAGGTTCCGAGCTAGCGCTGCTGGGATGCCCTGAAATGGTCCCATCAAAGTCAGCAGGGTGTGAATTTGGCACACAGTGTTTTGCCTAAACCACAGGAGATACTGCATCCCATCAGAGTGTATCACATTCTCACTGTGCCAGTGGCACAGGCCGGTTTGTTGGTCCCCAGGGTTGTGGGGTGATGCTGCTGTGGGAAGCCATGTGGGGAATGTTTCCCCTGCACCCCTACGCAATGCTTATGGTCCTTCTCTCTCCTGTGTTTTTTAGCCTGCGAAGATGGATATAAGCTGGAAAATGAGACCTGTGTGAGGTATGGTGACTGTTCTGCCTTCCTCCTACCCCGTAATCCTTCCTAATATTGCTTTAGTGACCTGTCAGCACAACTGCGCTGCTAAAACTCCCTGTTGTTTCCTGTTACCAGCTGCCCGTTCGGCTTAGGTGGATTCAACTGTGGAAACCGTAAGTACCGAGTTTTGTTTCTTTTAATTGCCACAGCATCAGAAATGGGAAATTTGAAACAGATAATTGCAAATTACTATGTCTAAAATGCAGGTGGTACACACTACTCCTGTCAGTGTTTTTTTAATTTTCTGTTGAAAATTATGTAGTTGACCTTCTTTGACAAAGTTGACTTAATGTTATCTCCTAAGGAAAGGAGATCTCCTTTCTCTGGATACTCTGTCACGATAAAACATATAGTGGGCACTCTTGGAGCAAGATATTTGGAGGTGAATCCATGACCTATCCTTTGAATTGTTCTGCTCTATCAGTGGAGGGAATCTGGCCCCTAGGGAAACATGAGCTTGTTCTTCCTTCAGCAAGATATCCCCAACTCCATCCATTTCACTTGAAAATTTAAGGCAATATTACTTACAGAGGGGGGGACAATGGGAAATAAACAGTTAATCCCTTTGCACGAGGACAGTGGAAATGTTTACATTAGTATTTACAACCATGTCGCTGTTTCTAAGTGGGTCTCTGTCTTTCCCGTCTGCAGCATATCAGCTCATCACGGTGGTGATAGCGGCTGCAGGAGGGGGACTTCTGCTCATCATGGGCATAGCGCTGATTGTCACCTGCTGCCGGTAGGTACCACCGCTGGCCCCAGCTTGCGTGGCATCCTCTCGGGGGGTTACACCACACTTAGGGCTCCACACGTGAACCCTGAAGGACCAAATCATAGGTGACCTCATAGGATAGATAAGCAAGTGGGTTAATCAGAGATGCTAAAGTGTTACATTGTGCTTTCATTTGGGGGAATATATATACATATATCTTTTTTTCCCAGCAACCAGGCTAAAATATGCAACTCAGTGTCTCTTAAGGATGCACCTGGAAATCATGTACTCCAAGGATGGGGAGGCAAAGGAGACCTTTCCACTCAGAGCTGTAAGGCAGCCAGGGAGCAGGCTCCAAAAATGCAAACTAAGTAAAAAGGAGAAGTTCAGGCAACAGGAAGGGTTGCTGGCCGTTGCTCAAGTGGTGTTTAAGTTTATTTAAGGCTATTTTCATACTTGTTTATGCACAAGTCCTGCACGTGCTCTTACTCTATGTGTCTTTCAGACGTACACATGCATGTACACACGTAGTTCCCATACCAGCAGGTAGCTTTAGACTAGAAGCAAGATGCACTGCCAAGGAAGATCTGCTTCATGATTTACATAACGTGAGAAAGCTGCCTTGCAGTAACACCCTCTCTCCCCGATTCCAGCCCCCAAATCTAGGGTTTCAAAGAGCTCTGATTAAAGTCAGCAGTTGGGTTTATCAGTAACATAGCAATGGCAGTGGTTTGGTTGGCACGGTGGTGTGTGCTTCTTCCCACTTGTTTTGAGCCAGGGGAATGTCAGCAAGCCCCAGCCAGGAGGTGTGATGGCCAGTACACCTCCAGCCCCCATAGTGCAGATCTTTGCAGGTGTGGACTGAGCTTCTCATGAGTCCTGACCTTTGGCAGGTTATGTGGCTTCCTGGAGCGTACTCTGCTTTGGACTGTAAGTGTTGCTAAAGTCCACTTGGACAAGATGGTAGTCAGGTAGGGGCATTTGGTGTCCCTTGGAAGACCAGCTCCTTCCTGGTCTTCCCTCTTAAGTAGTGTAGTGTCTACAAGTGCTATTAATGTAAAGATGGTAGTCAGGTAGGGGCATTTGGTGTCCCTTGGAAGACCAGCTCCTTCCTGGTCTTCCCCCTTAGGAATTAATGTAGTGTCTACAAGTGCTGTATATATATAGTTAAGCACTTGGAGACTTGAATAGCATGGGGGATCCCATAATGTTTTTTAATTTCTTCCTAGATTTCCATGACTTTTTCATTGTTCAGGTGAACACACACATTTTTAAGAGACAACGGGCATCAGCTGGAACTGGAGAGGTTCAAACTGAATGTAGAGAAAAACTCTTTCACCAAGAGGACAGTATGGCAGTGGAACAGGTTGCTCAGAGAGGTTATGCCATCTCCATCCTTGGAGATTTCAAATCCCAGCAGATAATGCCCTGAGTAGCATGATTTGACCTAATATCTGATTTTTCCTTGGAGCAGAAGATTGGACCGTAGCCTTTCTGAAGTGATCTTTGTTCCAAGCCAGGGTTCATAACATGAAGTAAATCTCCTGAGATCACGTCAGAAGTGCATACCAGATAGCAGGATAAGTTGTATGTTTTCAATTTCCTTCATTCTTTTATGAACAGGAAGAATAAAAATGACATAAGTAAACTCATTTTCAAGAGCGGGGATTTCCAGATGTCTCCGTATGCTGAATATCCAAAGAACCCCCGGGCACAGGAGTGGGGCAGAGAGACCATCGAGATGCAGGAGAACGGAAGCACCAAGAACCTGTTGCAGATGACAGATGTGTATTATTCGGTATCTATCCATGTAGCTTAACTATCCTTTGTGCCTGAAACAGGAAAGACACATTCCTTTATTTTTGGAAGTACAGATCTCTTTCCTGCACAATAAAAGAGCAGAGCAAATGACTTCCATAGGCAGCAGGGCATTGGGAGTCCTATGGACTCTAGCTATTACACGTGGTGAATATCACAAAGAGATGTCATTAGGAAGAGTGCTAGGGAAATGTCTAGGAACGTTTTGGTAGATGCCCAAAAAGCCCAATCCTGGAGTAGAGAAGGACAGTTAAAGGTTTTGGACAGACTGCTATGGATCCTTGTAGGTAGTTTTCTCCCTTCCACCCTCACTGATGATGCTGGAAGGTTGAGACCTCTGCCTAGGGCACTTCACCCCAAGATGGAAAGGTGCTGGTCACTGAGGACCCCTCTTTTCTTCCACTCCTCACCTCTCCAAGGTACAAGCCCCTTCCTGCAGCAGGAAGGCTGCATAAGGAGCATCCCTTCAGCTCTGAGGGAAGAAGTGGTGGAGGAGCAATAGGTTGTGTAGGGCACAGAAAAGACACAAGCGCAAGACCTGCTGTTGTGGTTGGTACCATCTGCTAATGTCTGTATCCAGAGTTGTGATGTTCCTGTATCGTCTGTCGCTAAGCAACACACTGGATGTACTTAATGTGTGTAGGGGTTACTCATGGGAATGAAGGTTGCAGGATTTCCCCCAGGTCACACATTCTGGACTCCTGCTTGTCAGAGTAGAGAGCTATACTTTTTTTCTGGCTTGTATTTTAAGTTTTCCAGTAAGGAAGTTTACTGTGTTGCACAACATGAAGGGAAATAATCCTCCTTCCTGCTTCCAGTAAGAATGAGAGTTTTGGAACTGCAAATATATTTCCTAAACATTTTTAAGGACTTTTTTAATGCTGGCAACTAGAAGGGAGAGCTTCTTAGAAAGGAGTGGATGATGAGGGCTTTGTGTGGATCTGCTTTGTAACAGATCAAACCAGGTGTCTTGATGTTATTTACTGGGTGAAAAGATTGTACAGTCTTGGTCTTAGATATCGAAGCTCCTCAGTGAAGTGGCCCCAGGAGATTTACTTGTAAGTAAGAGAAGGGAAGAGAAATGAAGTTCAGATCACTTTGCATGTGAAATAACGCGAGTGCCTGGGTTGGAAGAACTGGTGCCTGTGGTTAATGGCGAGAGGAGTGCTCCCAAGTAATACTCAAAGCAGGAAACTAACTTTGATTTTCTAGAAGCATTATCTTTAGGGATGGCTCTGGGACAATATCTGTTTTTTGAGAGTTGTTTCAATGCCCGAGCTCATCAGCATGATTCCCTTGGATTAAAAATTAACTGTGCACTTAGACTGCACTTGGTGGAGTCAGGTAAACTTCAAGTTTGCTAATTGACAAGATGTGGAAACTGGATTGCATCAGAATAACCCCCTTCAGGCAATGCATAACTCCCACAGTAAAAATTACTCTAGGTTATAGAGATCATTAGCAATCACATTGTTCCTTCTAGCTACTGAAATTACTGCTGGGAAAGGTGGTAAGGCTGTGCCTAAAGAAGGAATTCTGTGTGAGAATAAGACCCTTTTTATTTATATTTTTGTTAATACAGCCAACTGGACTGAGAAACCCTGAACTGGAAAGAAATGGACTTTATCCTCCCTACACTGGTTTGCCTGGATCTCGACATTCATGCATCTACCCTGGACAATATAATCCATCCTTCATTAGTGACGAAACCAGAAGAAGAGACTATTTTTAGCAGGGAGTGGAGAGGGAGTGGAAGATTGACACAGTTTTGTGGCCTTTGATCCCCAGGTACAATCCGTCCCCTGGCAGTTCAGCCCATATCAATCTTACTCTTCCCATGAAACAGGAAGGACTTTGAGATCCATGCCCAGCGTTGCTGACCTGAAGAACTGTTGCACTTGCTGAGCAGCAGAGAGGAGGAGGAGGGAATGGCTCGAGAGTGGACATCCCTCAAAGACCCAGGTTAACACGTACTCCGGATTGGTTCTGTGCTGCTTCTTCACTCTTTAGGCTACATGGCAAGCATGGATCAGCACAGGCAGGTGAACTGTGCCCAGCACTCTGCATTGAATTACCATGAGGGAGTGTTTTGTTTACACATCTTGTTCACTGTTGACTGTGCTTGTCTTTTCAGAACAACCTTCATGCAAAGATTCACTGTGCAACTGCTTTTGGTGGGGCAAGTTTTTCCACTCCCTTTACCATTAATGCATTACTTTCTGTTTTCGTACACGCCAGAGAAGCTGGCTTGTCCTCTGGCCTTCACCTTCTTCCTGGTAGAAGTCCTCCAGGTGACTGGGTCCTTGCTGAAGCCTGGTGCCTGGCAATGTTGGCTGAATTCATGGGCTGATTGCCTCCAAAGAGTATGGGAAAGTTAGTCATGCCACTGCGATTTTAACTAACAAAAAGACACAGTTGATCCTGTGCGCCGCTTTGAAAACTTCCTGTATATAGGGAAGAGTCCGAGTACGTTGTTGTTTTGTCAACCAGTGGTGTTCAGAAGTGATGCCACTACACATCAGCATAGTGCTTCCATCTTATGGGCCTCTGTATCCCTACAGGGTTTTAAATTCCTGTAGAAACAGCAATGTAATGTTAAATAATTGCTCACGGCAAAGAAAATGATGGGCTGGGAATTCAGCATGCTTCTTATGAGGTGTCCGGGAAGGAGCAATAATTGTATAGCCCTGGGTGGGCAGGTGGGACCTGGGTACTGCTGGTGGGACATGGTCTTGAGGCTTCCCTAGCCCACCTTGGATTCTGCAGGAGCTGTGGAGGCTTTCAGTACGTTGGAAAATAAGGCTCACTGCACTCAGTTGCCATTAAGGGAGAGAAAAACATTATGCTTTCGATCCTAGGGGAGCAAAGATCACTTACATAGAAGTGTTTTCTTACATCCTAGTTTCGAGTGATTCAGACCGGGCAGGTTTTCTCACTAAGTGTGTTAATTCATACTAATCACCTCTGCAAAAGCTGAAGAACGTAAGTTTCTCATCAAAGATCAGATTATAAGCTCATGGACTGTATTCTGACCTGAGCTGGGTGTTGAAAGAAATCTTACTAAGCAAGTATATTTAATGCTTATCTTTACTGCAGCGTTAGTCTGAATCGTCTGAACCCTGTCCAAATGCAGGATCCAGATATGGATCCTTTCCCTGAATGTGACTGTGCTTTTAATTCAAGGTGGCTGCCTGCATGAGGAGCATGAGCAAGCAGCACAATGCCTTAGCCATTAACCCACCATCTCTGTAGTGCTAGTTTCACCGAAGGGCACATGCCCTCTGATACTCCCTTCCTCCCTGCAGTGCTCAAAAAGACACAGTGCCCACAAGTAAGTTCATAAGGTAGCTCAGCTAACCGAAGCACTAAAGACCACGGGATGCATCCCCCAAAGTGCCTAACCCCAGGTGAGAACAGCAGTTCAGATGCCGGTGTGTCGTGTGGCTGCTCCCAGGCAATAAACCTGGGTAATGAGGAGCCCTGAGATCATCACAGATCCCTAGGGCAGCATCCTTTGCACTTACATGATCTTGTGGTGACGATCCATGCACCTTCATGCCTCTCTGATCCATAATCAGCCTTGCAGGTGGCAGTACACAGCTTATGTCAGCCATAGGGGGGAAATGAATGGATGCTTATGGGAAGTACAGCTGCCTAAGGAGCTATATTTAAGAAATACTCTAGTCACAGTATCCAAAATAGTGTAAAGGGTAAAGCACAAGAACTGGATGTTCCCTGTCCCACTGATCACTGTTCCCAGTCCATGGATGATGTTCTTCTCCCTTTCATTAGTAGCCAATATCTTAATTACACAGGATCCATTGGGTGATGTGAACAAAGGGCTTGACTCTACTGTGCTTTGGGGTCCTTCAAAGAGGTATATTAGCAGGGTTATTTCTGTGCAGGTGGGTTGCCTCTGTATTTGAGAGTGCCTAAGACAGAAAGGACTGCCTTTCTCATGGTACAGAGGAGGGTTTTGTCTGTTTTACAAAAGAGGAAAGCTGGGATTTTTGCTAAATCTAAATCCAAAGCATATAGACGAGCAGTGGGCTCTGCCCCTATTTACTAAAGTCACTTGGCAAAACAGAAGGGTGTCCAGCAATGACGGTAGGATTTAACCACGTGCCAACATTTTGCCAGAATGAGGAAGAGTTTAGGCACATGCTTATAGGCAAATAGGTTTAATTGCTTGATTAGTTCAAAGACTGGGAAATGTTTCCGTGTGTGCCAAGTACAAAGGACAAAGCAGGAAATATCAACTCATAATTGCTGATTGATCCTTCTATATCCGTGAACTGTATGAACAAAACTCCTGGTCTGTATCTCGCAGCAAATTGCAAGGGATTTGAGTGGACATGAGACAGGATTGTTCCTAATTGAGAACACACAAAAGTACAAGTAATTAATTTAATTTCTTAATGTTTGTCAAATTCTTCTTAATGCTGTATCTGGAGCAAAAGGGTCTCGGTAAACCTATCAGGATTTTCTGAGTGAGGACTGCAAAACTTGGCATTTTCCAAAAGAGAGAACTTCATTGCACCAAAATCTTCTCTCTGCCAGAGCAGGTAAATATTGGGAAACTTCTTAAACAGAATATATCCATTGCAACCTGACCTTCCTTTTAGGAAAAGAGTCATGGAGCCAATGCATAGTCCAGAGGAGGAGGAAGAGGGTCTCCCCTGACCTGCAGCACCTTCTCAGGGTATCCTTAGGAGACCCTGCTCAGCAGGCAGGATGGGATTTAGGCAGGTGTCAGCACCAGGGTGTGTGCAAGGTGCTTTCCCATGCGGTGATCCAGGAAGTCTTTGGGGAGCCTGTGAGCGCAGCCCAGGGTGATTCTGCCCCTGGGTCTCCACCAGCCCAGTTGCTCCCGGTGCTGTGATGGGCTGTCTTCACCCAAGCCCAACCGGATCCCAGCTCCACTAGGACAGAAGGGTGTGTTCTGCCACAGCTCACGGCAGTTGTTTTACTGCGGTGGGTTCCTACCACATCCCAGCAGCAATGGGCTTGCCTGGCCGCGGCAGGGATGTGACCTGTCTTGTGTGCAGCTTGTCTCTGTTAAAGCTGCCACCGGGATCCTCTCTGCCTGCTTCCCTCTCTGCCGTAAACTCAGCACCCTCTGGCAGCGAAGCGAGGTGTGTTGCTCCTGTCAGATGTGAGAGGAGTCTTCACATGCTCTCAAGCTCCCTTTTAAATGTGAATGCCTCTCTGTTTAGTACCTAACACCCGTAGGCTGTATAAATAAATGCAGGTTATTTCTCAGACTATTGTTAGCTACCCCAAATTGCAAATTATGAGCATAATGGATGTTTTTGCTGAAGGCAATTGCTCTCTACTGTCCAAGATGATGAGATAGAAGTGGCATGTTTCTTGTAAGTAGGATGCAAGTGGTTCAGCCAGATGTGAGGAAAGGAAGAAAAGCTAAACTAACACTGCACAGAAACCTGCTCTTGCTCCTGGCTGCTGTGGAAAGCTAGGGAAGCAGTCAGCAAGGGCCCACAGGCAGTTGTGTGGGTGTATTTTTTGATTAACTTTGGAAAAAATGCTAATTCTGTTGCTTGACAGGAAAAGAGGTGGGAAGCACGCTTTTGCTGCTATGGTGCTCTGCCAATTGAACTGACAAAAGCCCCTCACCCACAGAAATACCGCCAGCAGCCAGCCTAGGAGAGGGAGTCCCAGCGCACAGAGCAGCAAAACACAGATTTGAGGGGTTGTCCGAAAGGAAGGCTTGTGCTTGCACCTTCCTGTGTCCCTGCCATGCACTGCTGCTCGCCCTGGCCAGTCCTCCCACCTGCACTGGAAAAATCAGGGGCCTTTTGTATACTGTTGAAACCTCACATGACCGAACTGGGCTATAAGAGGAAAAAAACCAGGACTGGGGCATTTGGATGTCCTTTGCCCTCCTCATTTGAAGCACTGGGTAACACAGCAGCAATGAATTTCATTGCTGTGGCAGCATTTCCCTTGAGTCCCACTGTCACGGTCAGGCACTGAGTCACCTTGTGACCAGCCTTCTAAAAGCTATTTGCCTCCACGCTGAGCGGTAGTAAAAGGCTTTAAAAAATAGCAATAAACTGCAGTTAGGGAGAGGTGTTTGTCATAGTTTGTGCTGATACTCATAACAGTTGTTTGCCAGGACCTGAGTGAGCAGCTGAGCCAGTTTGGACGTTGCCGCAGACATGCCAAGTGCTTTCCCAGCACATGGGCAATGGCCATATCCGTTCCAAATCCAGATGGACTTCTCATTCCCTCATAGTGATGTTTAGTCTTTAGTTTTCTTCCATAACAAAGATGAATGCGTTTTACTTAAATGTTCTTCCCGTGCTGACTAATGTTTTTTCCTCTTTACACACAAAGGACCTAATCCAGCATCCATATAGTGACCAGGGTAACTCTCCCATGGACTGTAATGAAATATTTTTTAGGCCTGAATTATTTACCACCAGGGTCATCTGTGTGTAGTACACGCTTTCCCATGGCTGTGTGTTCTGCCTATTTCTGTGATACTGTTGCTGCCTTTCCATGTTGTATTTATTTTTACAAGTATACTTGTTAGTGCGGCAGGACCCGTATTGTGTGAGATTGAATAAACCAGGTTCAAGATCTGAAACGCCTTCCTGAAAAGAGGATGAATGTGAATTTTGTGAAGTTCTTTACTGATCAACCAATCTGTGTCTTAACATTTAAGATCTTTGAAGGATGTCGAGGTGATTTCTGCAGTCACAGATAAGA